TCTCTGAGAATCTGGTACTCTAGTACACTCGAAACAAAATCTAGTACTTCTTTCAGCATATGTTTCCATCAGAGATAACAGAGATATAAGAAGTCATTCATAAAATATAATATTCATGGTGTCAAGAACAGTTCGCACTCAAAACATTCTATTTCTAGACGAGGGGCGAGGCGACGAAAGGTGAGAAGTAAAAGAAGGGATACAGTGAAGAATTTTACATAGTTTTATCAATGAATAACTGCCCGAGCTTTTACTACTTAACGTAACTTTTCTTGCCGGTGTAAGCCCTGTTGCACTTCCAATCTAACATCACTAGGTTTTGGAATTTGTTAAAAATTATTACATCTAATTTAATGAAATTACATCTAATTTGGTTAAAAATGCCTATTTTTTGTTCTAATGCTCTTTGTAGGAAGTATTTTTTTATAATTATTAAAAAAAAATCATTTACATTAGCCCTTATGATCGAAAAAGAATTTAAATGTCTCAGTTTCAACCGTCTACAAATTTGTATAAAAAATCTTCTTTTAGAAATATACCTCTCATTTGACGAAAAACGATGGCCTAAATGAAAAAAAACTATTCTTTATAAAAGTTTCGCCTATGTATTGACAAGGTAAAAGTACTTTCCTCATATTTGTTGCTTTTAAATTAACAAAAATATAGCAATAAACCATTAGTGATGTCATGGTTTTACTAGAAAGCAAACATTAAAGGCAGAGCATATCGACTCTTTATGCATCTATCTCAGTATTGAAATGTATGCAATCAGTTTGACCCCTCTTATATTATTTTACACAGGGATTATTGATTTATCCACCATTTTTACTATGGTGTACTAATTACTTCAAGATTTCTTTTTTATTTTTAATGTAAAATGAAAATAAGAAAATATAAACTATTTATTAAAGGTATTTATTGAAGTATCAATTATAAAAAGTAAGGCTATTGCTTTGCAAAATACAATAAATCCCCAATATAAATAAATTATAATAATAATAATAATTGGAAGGAAGTATATAAAGCATAAATTAATAATATTAAAATTTATAATTACAAGACTTTCAAACTAATCAGAATCAGATTCACCACACGAATCAACATTTTCCAAAACATTAGCGACTGTGGTCAAACTATTTCTGCAGTTTTTCTGTGCCATACGGGTGCAGGAACCGATACAGTAAATATTTTTTTCCTGCATTTGCAAATTTTGCTTCCACAGTCTAGAACAGAATATTATTGTTAGAATATTGTATAGTATGTTTTTTGCATTTGCATGATGTAAGTTCTGTTATGTCTGGTGGCAGGTCGGGCAGAGTCTTAAAAGTGCATGGGTATCAGACTTCCATCTTGATCTACTTTCCATCCATACTCTTCAACATTAGGAAGCTGCATCTGTGTTTAAAGAGGTTAGCCAAATATTTAGCTGGTAAAAACGTCTTAAACAATGTAGTCTTAGGGCTTCTTCAGTCGGTGGTAATTTAGCGATGGTTTTTGAAGAGGTAAACAATCCCCTCAAAATGTTAATGAAAGTAACATTGGCAGTTTTGAATACATTTTTAAGAAAATTCTTTCAAGATTAGAGAATATGTTTTCAGAGTACTGATCAGTGCCAAATCCATCCAAAAAGTAATGGTTTTCAAGGTAGGTTTTCCAACAGGTTTTGTTCCCAATGCCGGACAATTAAATGGTTGTATCACAACCGGTCAGAATGAAAAGCAGGCATATTTTTTAGAAGGTTTTCATCTAAATTTAAATAATGTACTGCTAGAAATCGTCTTGAGTCTCCTCGCCCTGTTCTGAACCATATATCTTTAGTCAAAAACTTTTTAAAATAAATTAATAAGACATCTGTATCGTTGCAATAAATAATGCAGCGTGAATGCACCGAATTTTTGGCTGACAATATGTGCAATGGGATACGATTTTAGCGTCTTCGTGATTTGAATTTAAAAAAATCGTCTTTTGATGGTTCAAAATTCTTTCCATATTTATTGATTTTCGCGAATCCACCACTAGTTAGAAATTGAATATGCTTTTGCTGAATGGAGTTTTGAAGAAGTTGCTCTGGCAGAAAATGTGTTAAACGTCTTTTGTTAAATATCTAATGAATAAACAAGTTCTATTGTTGCGGAAGTGGAATATTGGGTCGGTCAATTTCTATATCAATTTATTTCTGAAATCCTCTCTTTTGACGTGTTGTATTTTTGATAGAATGTCCTTTATAATGATCAAATACCACATCTATCATTTGAGTATTAAATTTATTTCTAAAAATAATTTTTACAAATATATGAGCATATTCTTTAAATGATATGCAACTTTTGGGCTTTCCTATTTTGATATAATTCTTGTCTTTGCTACTTGCAACAACAAATCCGTAATTAAAATTTTAAACGGAAACTTACAACTTACCCAAATATATTTAGCTGCAACAGGATGAATGTAGATATAATAAAAGATGCAAAAATGTCTATATTTTTTCCCAATTTATTAGGTAATTTAATATATAACACATACACTTATTAATTCTTTAGTAAAAACAGATAACAATATGACACATGGAACATAACAAGAAGTTTTATAATAAAAAAAAATGAAAAATCCTACCATATCAATAATGTGATACATCAGCCCGCACGTAGAGAGAAACAGAGCTATGCTACGTTTGAAGGTGAAGAGAAAGATACACTGAGAGTCGATAAATTTGACGGTAAGAATTAATTACAGCATAAACCTATGACATCTCTCATCGTTTATTGTTATATCTTTGTTAATTCAAAAGCAAAAAATATAGTGTTTACTCTGTTACCTTCTCAATACATAAGCAAAAATTTTATAAAGAATGTTTTTTTTTTCATTTAGGCCTTCGTTTTTTGTTAAATGAGTGGTATATTAAAAAAAGACGACTTTTTAACTAAATTTTTGAAGGGCTAAAACCAAGATATTTACGTTTATATTTTTTTTCGGCCGTAAGTGCTAATGCAAATGATTTTTTTTAAATAAGTATAAACAATTACTCCCTACAAAAATTTTCTTATGCATTTGACCAAAAAATTAGTATTTTTTTCTCTATTCGGTGGTATCAATATCTGGATTTTTGATGATAGTGCCCTTCTGCACAGTCTAATTTTGTATTAACTCCAGAAAAAGGGTTACCTTATCATGACCTTTCATCTGTGAAAAATTCAGCTATGTGACAAAAGAGTGGGAGGTGAATCGTTTTCTTGAGCGAATATTTTAATACATACACTTTACTAACAATGACAACAGCGGATATTATACACACAATATATTGTGATTATACCCTACTGTGTCCCTTACAATATGTCTTATTCACGGCCGCACGATATTTGTTAATAGTTACATCTCCTGGTTATCTCTGGTATCCATCAATGAGGTTGAATACTATACCTCCATGGTTTCCATTTGAAGTGTAAAATATATTGGTCAAAAATTGCAAGAGAAATTAAAATAGTTCTTAAAAATTACTTCAGAGATAAAATAGTAGACACTTCTCGAGAGATAAAACATTAAAACAAAGGTAAAAAAAGGCTGTTAAAAATTGTTCGAGTGATTAAATAGTGTTAAAAATTGTACAAACATTGCTCGAGGGATAAAAAAAGTTGCTAAAAATTGCTCGAGAGCTAGAATACTGTTGGAAATTTATCGAGAGATAAAAAAAGGTTTTTTAAAAACTGTTCGAGAGATAAAATATCAAAAGGTATTAAAATCGTTTTTAAAAATTGCTCGAGATGAAATAGTGTTAGAAATTGTTAAAATTTTGCTCAAAAATTGCACGAGAAATCAAATATTGTTCAAAAATAGCTTGAAAGAAAAAAAACTTAAAAATTGCTCGAGTGATTAAATAGTGTTAAAATTTTTGTACAAAGATTGCTCGAGGGATAAAAAAAAGTTGTTAAAAATTGCTCGAGAGATAAAAGAGTATCAAAAGGTATTAAAATCTTATTCAAAAACTGCTGGAGAGATAAAATAGTGTCAGAAATTTGTAGAGAGATAAAATATTGTTTAAAATTGTTGTGTTCGTGTTCTCTATAAACCTTTTTTTGCTCTTTAATGACCAAACTTCATAATTAGAAAAATCTGGTAATTTTATAGAATCTAGTACATTTTTATGAAATCTGGTACATTTTTTAGATAAATCTGGTACATTATAAAAATATATTCTGGCAACACTGCACCCACATTTACTAAAAATATTCATTTTGTAGATACGACCTCTTAGCAAGACAAAATTTTTTGTTCCATTTAGGTTTTGTAGATATAAAATTATTATTTTCTTTAATTATAGGTGGGACACCTCAGAGGACAGAGGAATTTGGTAGATTAACTAAAACTAATTATAAAAAATGTTTTTCCGGGGATAGGTACCAGTGAGGACCCTCTGAAAAAGCAAGAACAGCCTATTCTTATTTCAAGATTATTAATTTCTTCAATGAAATTATCCTATAATTCAACTAATATTAATATTTATGTCAAAGCCAATATTAACATTTCTTGAAACAGTTCATATTATTATTGTAACAAATTTAGTTGTATTGGATATAAGAACAAGGTCTTGAATATAAATAAAGTATATTTAAAAAAAGTGTAAGACTATTTCATTTAAGATGTACATAATACTGCAATTGAGCAATAGATACTCTTCATTTAATTAGAGGTATTTTACTTAGGACAAGTTGATTGTAATCTTGAAGAAAGGCTTATTAGTTATTGTTGAACAAGTATTACTACAAGTTCAAATCGAAACGAGTTTTACTTTCGGATATACAAACACAACAAAGCATTGAAATAAGACCATACATCTTGAATATAGTACACCTTTTTTTCTGTGTGGTATCACCATTACTTGAAATGGTTATTATATTATGAGGAGTGTCTAGTACCTAGTGCTCAAACATATCTATAACAATTTTGTTGAATTAGCATTTATTCCAGATTTTGGATATTGAAAATTAAAAATATAGTATTTTACTTACCTCCTAAAACTTCGCTTCCCTCTCCTGTATTTAATAGGAGTACAAATCCCAATAAAATAAAAACTAGTTCGCTTTTCATAATTATTTGTGGCGATTAAATATATTTAACTAAAACTTATTTTAAAAAGTGATTGTATTTAAATAAAGATAAAGTGAACGTAAAATATAGATCTTATCAATTTAAATTTTGTTGAAATGCTTAGGTAACCACTTTAAAATTTTGAAGATCTTGATTAGTAAAAATTAAAGTAAAAAATATAAAAGTCTAGGGTGATAACGAGTCTACAATACCCGTATCTCAAGTGATTTTGTAAAACAAGCAATTAATGAAAATAGCGTTATTACTGCTTTTTATTACAGTATAATTTCTGTCAAATAGATCAGTTATATTATTTTACTTCCATAGATACAGGGCCGACGAGGGGGGGGGGTAGGTGGGACAAATTCCCGGGGCCCGGCAGCTTTAGCACAAAAGGGAGGACCTGGTTTATGAAAAATAAAATGTGGGGACCGTTTATTTTTAGATTTCACTAAGAGAGGATCGGCTTTTTTGCTTAAGGTTTCATAGAAAGGACTTTTTTATAACAATGTCCCAGGTCCCACCACGGCTCTGCATAAATATTATATAGTCGCTGTTAGAGTCCGTCCAGACGAGCTACTCGGTGGCGACACTTAGTGGCGGGTACACGCATGCCATTCAATTGAATGTTAAAATGTTAAAATGTAGAAGCTGTCCAGACGAGCGTCTGTGACGAAGAGAAGCGGATCACCGCGACGAAGTGACGCCCCTTATACTCAAACAAATAATGATTGAGAGTGAACCGTGTTGTCATATCTCAATTTTACCTTACTAGTTTTTAGCAGAATCAAAATAGAGTAAGTAGTAGAGTTGTAAGTTGTGGTAAATTATAGATAATATACAATCATAGTACTAATAAAAGATATTAATTATAACAAAAATCAGTAATGAGTAATACTTATACATTTCTTGATCATTTAAAATTAATTATTTTATGGTTTGTTCAGTATTTGTTACAACTAATGGCATCGGTGTACGAAGCGATATTTGTGTCTTTGTCTGTTACGCGTAACCACAAGCGTAACATCGGATTTTGAATTATACGGTGTGAATCGTAAGTTTTACAGTTAAGGTAGTAAGTAATCGACGTGTTGTAAGAACAATTGGTGAAAATATTAGTGCTAATAAGTGTTTAAACAATAAATAATAATATTTCTACACCGTTCTAAAACTATGCAAAAAATGGAAGACATTGAAGGGCCTTCAACGTCGAAAAAGGTAAAACGGTCGAAGTCTCGGTCGCTAAGTGAAAAACAAATTGTACTTCGAGTATTTCACTGTCTTGAAAGAGATCATCAGCGACCAAAAGATAACTTAGTGCATATGTGCTGTAATTCTACGGATGTACCTCCGAATAACCAACCGGGCGTTCCAACATCATTAACTTCCACAATTACAAAAGATAAATTAGTTGATATGTGCTCTGATTATACGGGTGTACCAAAATCATCAGTTTACAAAATACTAAGAGAAAACAAAATTCATGGGGAAGTAGAAACGCCAAAAACTAGTAGCGGAAGAAAAAAAAATCACAGTTGATGAAGAAGCCAAAAACAGTATACGCACAACTATTCGCAGTTTCTTTTTCAGAAATGAGCTGCCCACTTTGCAAAAAGTTCTGGAGGCAGTTAGCGATCATGAATTGGTCCCACAAATGAGTAAAGAAACTTTGAGGAAAATTTTACACGAAATGAAATTTACGTACGGAAAGTCGACAGGAAAAGCATTCTCATTGAACGTCAGGAAATAATAGTATGAAGAAGAAATTATCTCCGAAAAATTGAGGAATTTCGGAATATCAAAAAAAAAATTTACTACATGGATGAGACGTGGGTTAACCAAGGACATACGGTCAAAAAAGTATGGCAGGATGGTCATATAACAAGTGCACGACAAGCCTTTATTGAAGGCTTGTCAACTGGGTTAAAACAGCCGTCTGGAAAAGGTAGTCGTCTGATAGTTACGCATATAGGAAGCGACAGTGGATTTTTACCAAATGGTGAATTAATATTTAAATCCAAGAAAACAGGCGACTATCATGAAGAGATGAATACGGAGGTGTTTGAAAAATGGTTTGAAGGCATCATTCAACTTGTGGAACCTGGGTCTGTCGTCGTCATGGACAATGCCCCATATCATAGTCGGTATTTAGAATCATTACCGAAACAATCATGGAAAGACAGACCCAGGTTCCACAAGTTGAATGATGCCTTCAAACCATTTTTCAAACACCTCCGCATTCATCTCTTCATGATAGTCGCCTGTTTTCTTGGATTTAAATATTAATTCACCATTTGGTAAAAATCCACTGTCGCTTCCTATATGCGTAACTATCAGACGACTACCTTTTCCAGACGGCTGTTTTAACCCAGTTGACAAGCCTTCAATAAAGGCTTGTCGTGCACTTGTTATATGACCATCCTGCCATACTTTTTTGACCGTATGTCCTTGGTTAACCCACGTCTCATCCATGTAGTAAATTTTTTTTTGATATTCCGAAATTCCTCAATTTTTCGGAGATAATTTCTTCTCCATACTATTATTTCCTGACGTTCAATGAGAATGCTTTTCCTGTCGACTTTTCCGTACGTAAATTTCATTTCGTGTAAAATTTTCCTCAAAGTTTCTTTACTCATTTGTGGGACCAATTCATGATCGCTAACTGCCTCCAGAACTTTTTGCAAAGTGGGCAGCTCATTTCTGAAAAAGAAACTGCGAATAGTTGTGCGTATACTGTTTTTGGCTTCTTCATCAACTGTGATTTTTTTTTCTTCCGCTACTAGTTTTTGGCGTTTCTACTTCCCCATGAATTTTGTTTTCTCTTAGTATTTTGTAAACTGATGATTTTGGTACACCCGTATAATCAGAGCACATATCAACTAATTTATCTTTTGTAATTGTGGAAGTTAATGATGTTGGAACGCCCGGTTGGTTATTCGGAGGTACATCCGTAGAATTACAGCACATATGCACTAAGTTATCTTTTGGTCGCTGATGATCTCTTTCAAGACAGTGAAATACTCGAAGTACAATTTGTTTTTCACTTAGCGACCGAGACTTCGACCGTTTTACCTTTTTCGACGTTGAAGGCCCTTCAATGTCTTCCATTTTTTGCATAGTTTTAGAACAGTGTAGAAATATTATTATTTAATGTTTAAACACTTATTAGCACTAATATTTTCACCAATTGTTCTTACAACACGTCGATTACTTAATAACTTAACTGTAAAACTTACAATTCACACCGTATAATTCAAAACCCGATGTTACGCTCGTGGTTAGAAATACACTACTGAGAACGTCATCGACGAGATTGATTTTACGCGTAACAGACAAAGACACAAATATCGCTCCGTACACCGATGCCATTAGTTGTAACAAATACTGAACAATCCATAAAATAATTAATTTTAAATGATCAAGAAATGTATAAGTATTACTCATTACTGATTTTTGTTATAATTAATATCTTTTATTAGTACCATGATTGTATATTATCTATAATTTGCCACAACTTACAACTCTACTACTTACTCTATTTTGATTCTGCTAAAAACTAGTAAGGTAAAATTGAGATATGACAACACGGTTCACTCTCAATCATTATTTGTTTGAGTATACACTCGAATATTTACAACACTCGTGTAATATGGTCAACATTATACACTTATTGAATAATCTACTATTATTAAATTATTTCGTTCATTTAGTGGCTTCAAGGTAATAGTACAATTAAATATATTGTCATATTTTTCTAGTGTTTAATATAGTCTAAAACATTTTTTTTTTTTTATAAATATATCATGATATTAGTTTAAAATTAATACACTCCTTATTTGTTCATTATTGGTCAATTTACCCTAACCTATAAGCCACAGATGCATTCAAAATTTTATCTTCCAACGTTGGTTGCTGATAATCTCTAGCTACAAAGCTTTTTTTTTTTTTCACTGGGTTACCACTAATCAATTTCTTTGAAAATATCCACTTACTTTCTATTAACTTCACATCTGAAGGTGGTAAAACCATTTCCAAAGTATTATTTTCTTTTAACGTTGATATTTCATTATTTTCGGCACTTTCCCATCCTCTTTCTATTGCTTCATCGTAAGTTTTGGGAATTTCACGAGGTAAATGTCCCACTGATAATGCAGCCATTAAATCAGCTTCATTAAAATCCCCACAGTCTTCTAAGTTCTTAGCAATATAACTTTTTATATTACTTTTACATAGTATTTATTATTTTCTTCTCTATACTCCTCTACATCAGTTCCTTTTTCTTCTTCATGTATTAAAATTGGTCTAATATTTTCATTTTAAATTCCCAATTTGAAAAAGATGTTCCATTAAATTGTTTAAGATTCGAAACGTGTACTTTTTTAATCCAATTGGTTCCAGCTTAATGTATCTCTGGGCCCATAATCTTTTAGAAGATCTTCCGAATTCATATTGAAACACAATGACACAAATTTTTTCCATCTTGAACTAATTTGTACCGTAAAGGTTCATAGATTTTTGCTGTTTCAAATTCATTCAGAGGCCCGCATCCTTTATTTTTTGCTTAAGGGTTTGAATGACATTTTCCATTGAAGATATTTTTCCCTTAAGTCTCCTTACGTTTTGTTGAAGAGTTTTAATCTTCTTTCTTTGGCCAAAAATTGTCGTTTTTAGTAATTTGAAATGCTGCTTTGATTCGGGAGATGAAAAATCGTCACTGGATAAATCTCCAACGTACATTTTTCTAAAAATAAATGAACATTATTGTTAACATAAACGTCTAAAACTAAGGGCCTATTTATTCTCCCTTATTGTTAGTTGGTATTATGATTTAGCATTAAACTGGACAACATATTCAAAAAGGGTATTTACAGTTCATCAAATTTCTAGAGGCTTTCGACGGCTAGACAGAGAAAGCACTACTGAGAGGCATCGGTTGGCGGGGCCGACGGATTTACGCAATGAAAGTACACTCTGCGCATCAAGTATTTCACTATTTTATTCAGACGTAAATGTCAGATGTAAATTTCGCTAAAACATTTCTTTTATTTTCGT